GCCTTGGTGTGGAGTGGCGGAGCGGGTAGCATGGGTGGTGGCAGAGCGGGTGGCACGGGTGGTGGCAGACAGCCCTTCCAAATCCTCCCAAAGCCACTTCTTGCTGCTGCTCCCAGCAGACAGTTTCTCATGCTGCCCCACAGCAGGGAGGTGAATTCTGTTCCTTAGCCAGGCCAGTGGGGATGGGGACCCTGGGGACAGGGAGCTGAGCTGCCTTTACAGGGATCACAACTCCAAACCCATTGGTGCAGAAGTGGGAGCAGGGTGTGCAGAGTCCTGATGTGGCATCACCCCAGCCCTGAGCACGAGGAGACGCAGCCCTTACTGGTGCTCACAGGTTCCAGTTCAGCTGCTGGGGCGTCCCCTGTCCTCCCAACAGCCACCAAGTGATGCGCGTCCCAAAATGAGCCAACTCTTTGCACAAGAATTAATGAGCCAAACTCAAGGACGTGAGGATTCGCCTCCTCTCCAGTTAACCCAGAGCCAGCTGGTCCTTCTGAGCCAAGCACAGGGACGAGGACACACATCCTGCGATGATTCAGCATCCGGACATCAGCTTTTATTACCAGGGCCGGTAAAATGTTAAAAGAAACTGGTAAGTAAGAACCTGGGAAAGAAGCAGCAGGTGGAGGAGCAGCGGTCCTGAACTGGGAGCGGGCTGCTGGGAGCATGGCTCACTGATGCTGGGAGCGTGGCTCACTGTCGCTGTGATCCTGGAGAAATATTTCCCTCTTGTGGACAACACAAAGAGCCTCCAGGCAGAACTGGGATGCTCCTGTTCCTCTGCACAGCCAGCTCTTCCCAGGACATGCGCAGGTCCCCAGTGTCCCAGGGCTCCTGGCTCAGAACGATGCCCCGGTGCCATTGCAGCGTGGGACGTGTCAGCTCCTCAGTTACCCTGTCACATACTTACCTGTCACCCCGGGCACTGACAGAGCCTGTGCTGAACTGTGCCCGGCCCACGCAGCGTCGCTGCTGTCAGCCCTGACAGCATCCCCAGGTCGCATCCTGCCTGCCTCAACCTGGCTGACCTGGATCAGCCCAGCAGCCTCGGTCTCCTGTCCTCACCCTGCCCGCAATCGCGGCTTCCCCACCCTAATCCTGCGCTCAGCACACCCTGCGAGCTCCCTGCCTCCTTCCTGGGCGTGCCTGC